TGATTCAAATTTAAATTTAAAATAACATTTTATTTGCTTTCCTTTGACTTTTTTACAATGGGATGGGTTACGATGCTAGGACCCATGAATTCTTAAAACTTCCCTAAATATTATGCAAGACACTTTGTAGTACTTAGCTATTCGCCGTATATGTATTTAAAAAGAAAGAAGAAAGGCGGCTTGTGAAGTAAAAGATGTGAGCTTAAGAGAGTCAGGGAGAGGAAGAAGGAGAAAGACGACGCTATACTTCCAATTTATTAATGGCAATTGTTTGAATCCCGAAGCAAATTTTAAGTTTTACACTGACTTGGCAAGATAAACAGTTCCTTAAAATCTGGATCGTTTTAGAATCCATTACAGATCAAGACATTTCTTTATGATATATTTTGTCGTTTTAGAGCTTGACGACTGTGTCTAATGAATCAGTTAATAACATTCACACACACTGCCTTTAGAAGAAGCTGCCATCGTGTGGTGGCTTGCAGATAACGAAATAAAAGGCGACCCGCTATTGCCATCATACGATTCGTCGAAGTGGTCTACCAAGAAATCGGCGAACAATTCCAATATATAGACATACGCTATACGCATTGCTGATAAGCAAGTTTGTTAATGAAATAAAAAAATCTTTGAAAAATTCTTGAAAAAACTTTTGGTTTTACTTTAGATTATGCGAAACGCAATTTTCTTGATTTCGAACAAAGCCTTGGGCTTTCATTTTATATGAGCAACTTTGCAGGAAATTCGAAAAGAAATTCAAATTTGATAATAAATAGATTTATGCCGTAAATGTGAGCTTTCTAAGCAATTTAGTAACAATACGGGTTCGATTTGGACCGATTTATATAATCTTACAGAAGAGGGCTAATTAAGTGGATATCAATGCAAATGACTTTAGTCTTTAGATTCATTTAGCTTTTTAAAAATACTGCTACCGAGTTGGGGTTCATTGTTTATCGCATAGATGTAAATCTGTCAAGAGCGTTCCTGCCATGACTATAGAAAATTTATAGAAAATTATCGAAAATTCGAGGCTGGTGCCAATTTATTCCTTGTTCTGTAGACCAGCATAATAAACATAATTATTTTTCTTATAGTCATCATCGATCAGTAGTAATATATATTATGGTATTTTAAACATTTGTCGAAATAACGGAATGAAACATTGATTTGCCGAAAAACATGAACTTGACCTTTACAGGTACAGGGCATTACATCGGAATAAGTGATATGTTTGCGACACAAACCGATCGGGATTTTAAAAGAATAAACAATGATTGAAAAAAGTTTGCTGAATTTTTTTTTTTTTCTTAATTCCATATTCAAATAGAGCAGAAAAATATTCATTTAATTTTCTTCTTATTTTTTAGAGAAAATTATTATAAAAACACAATGTAATATAGAAGGGCAATGCGTGTGTGTAAAATGAATGGCATTGTTAACGAAAAATATTATTTTGTTTTTTTTTCTTGTTTTTTATTTTTTATTATTGAATACAGACATACATGTAGACACTCAAAGAAATCATATATTTAGTACGTTGAATAACGTTAACGAATGAATGAGATTTGCTCTATGTGCATGTGTATGCTTAATTTCCATCGATGGTGATAGAAAGAACAACGAAGAAATATCAAAATAAATTTGTTTACTAGTGAGGGGCGTAGGATAGGTAAGTAAAAAAAAAATATATGAGCAAAGAGCAAAGAATATGTTAAGCATATTGAATACGTGCAGTTCAAACGTATTATTATCATTCACAAAATGAACAGTCTACCAACAGCAGCTTATACTTGCTGGCTTCGGCTAAAAGTTTAGTAATAATTTAACAGCAAACATTAATTTCATTTAACATGAGCTGTACGTTAGCATTTATTGTATGTTATGTTAGCCGCAGCAGTTGCTGATGTTGTGGGTGTTTGGGATGGTGTTACAGAGCTCAAGGACGTCGTCATCGTCGTTGAATTTATAGAATTATGTGAAACCGCTAGCGGATGTGCGACAGATGTGCAGGTAGTCGCTGCTGTTGCCGCCGCTGCTGCCGCTGCCATTGAATTTTGTTGATGTTGTTGTTTAATTTTATCAAATATTTGTAATTTTGATTTGACCGCGCCTTCGCATACCATTAAGCGTGCTTGAGATGGTTTTTTATCTAATTCGAAACAAAAAGCTTCATAATCCGAGTTAATGGTTGCGTGACGCTTGAAATCAGAATACCGTCTAGTATCGTAGGATAAATATGATGCAGCCACAGCAGCTGCCATGGACGATGACGATGAGGTGGATCCACTACCGCTCGCTGGCGAATGCCCGCCAGCGTTACGGGGTGGCGGATTACTATCAGGTACTTGACGTTTACGTTCAAAATATTCCACAATTTTGGCTATTTGCGCGGAACGTGTGCTGGGTGGCAACGCAAACGAACGATCATCCCATAGCAATGAGTCTGAACCCGCAAGGCTGCTAATATCATCGGAACTGTCCGTGTAAATGGATGAGGTGCGATTTTTACAGTACAATAATTGATTCGTAGTAAATGGACTACGTTGCATCATTGAATGAATTTCCGAGTCCAAGGCTAAACGATTAATTAGGCCTGCGGTTGCGGTTAAGTTTGGATCGTTACTGCTTAACAAATGATGATGGCAGGCATAACGTTTGTTGGTCCTTGTAGCATCTGGCAATTCCAGGTCGTCGAGTGAACGTAATGCCGAAGTATTTGTCCGAGTATTTACAGCAATTGGTCCTCCTGCTCCACTTGACACCTCATCCATCAGCAACACCGACGATGAGGTAGAAGAAGAATCATTTAAGAGTTGCTGATGATGACCGCCTTGTGACGTAGAACTGTAATAACAACACCGACATAAACTGGCCAATTTATCACTACAGAGAGAATATTCGAGAATAATGTAAAACATAAACAATGACTTAGGCATATTTGTAACCTCGATCATACCTCAAATCACCATTGGCGCCCACATCTAACATTAATTGTGACTTTAGCTGTTCAAAACAACAATTGCTACCACCGCAGCCCAAACCTAATGTTGACATTCCGCCCCCATATTGGCGATATGTAGTAGCGGCATCGGATTCTTCGTTAAAGCACGAATAGAATCCGCTTTCGATCGAATCACGTCGGGTTAATGTGCTTTTGGTGGGCAAAAAATCGTGCTTAATTTCGTTTAATTCGAAATCGGGGCATGAGGATATTGAGGCAGGCGTAGCTACGAGTGGCAACGTAGATGTGGGGGCAGGAGGAGCCGGTGTCGAAATTGATGTCGACAGATCCTTAGAGGGTTTGTCGTCACCTTCGCAGCCGTCCTCAGAAGAGTTAAACTCTTCCCCGGTAACGGCAGCACCGATCGCATTTAACGTTGTGATAGTTTGTTCGTCATTTTTGACGGTATTGCTGCCGCGAAACAATGGATGTGTGAACAAGGAATTGGCACGATACTTCCGGGTTGCAGGTGCAGGAGCGGGTCTTTCGGCAGAATCATCGCTACTCGATTCAGCGTCAGCGCAATTGCCGCCACCATCTGCATCTTGTTCGATATCGGAGTCTTCAACGCAATCGTCTTCATCTTCGGCAGTTGGGCGTCGGCCTATTTGTAAACTCGGTGATAATTTCAAATCAGCTGCACTAAATTTACGTGTCAATTGGGGCGAGGTGGGGAGGCTTTTTGGTTCAATGGGCGAATGAGCTATGATCGTTGCTGCCGCTCCCAATCCTCCTAATAGTTTATTTTCATCCGCGGCACTGGTTATCTTTTGTAAGGCTGCCATCTCTTTAAAAAAGGGAGCGCACATTTCAAAGCACGAGCTAAATAAATCACCAACTCCAGCAGCATAAGTTTTAGGATTGGCCCCCAATACCTTTTTGACTCGTCGCAACTGGGCTAGAGCGGTAAAAGGGTTAGTTTTCACACCATTCTGATCCGTTCTCATGGGTTTGTATTGAGCATCTTTCAGGCACATTGTTTCTGCCACTTTTCTTAACGTTAAACCCGGTGTAGGCGATTCGCAGACTTGCACGGGTATCGCTCTAACCAAAGTAGCACTTGACGATCCATTGATTGGCGGAGGTGTGGGTGAATGAGTCGACGATCTTTGCCGCTGCATTTGGTGGCAACGCGCCTTATCACTGGGCGTGGTATGCAATGGGAAATGTATAATATTCTCACTGAGAGAACGACGATGGTGTTGTTGCATTAATAATTCAGCAGCTGCTTCATACTTTTTCGTAGCTCTTCTAACTCGACTGTTTATATTAATGCTATCTTCAACAAGTTTTTTGTGACTTAAAACTTTTGCTGGATCGTTTGGTATTGAACTGATGCGTTTATTAGGTTCCGTAAAAACGAAACCATTGTCGCTCACCTCTCTTAGATGCCTGGGGGATAGACAGGTGGCCGAAGCTGTATTTACACATGATGCTGCACTGGTAGTATTGGTGGCAGAGTTAGATTTCTTTGTTAACACTTGACGAGCGGATCCGTTTTTAAGTGTCACGCAAACATTTTGGTTTTCTGAATCACTTCCGCTTAATGCACAATTAGTCATCTCCAATGAACTTAACGGAGAAGAGCTACTAGTACTTGTTGCTGAGGTTGCCTTCAATGTCTTTGATACATTTTTCGCGACAGCATCATGTTGATATTTCTCTAAAAGCAACGTCAATTTCTTAACAACATCATGAAACGTTGGTCTACTTTTAGGATCGTACTACAAACATTAAAAAAAATTAAAAAAAAAAAAAAAAATAAAAAATTTTTACAAAACGCAATTTGGCTTTAAACAATTTTATTGGTGAGACTTACAATACAACAATAGAAGGCCAGTCTTAAAAATACAGGAGGTGTATCCATGGGACACAATTCAACAAATGCCAAATAGTCCAGACCAAAAGAGTCGGTGCGCGGCATAATATCCGGATCGGCTTCGATGCGTGCTATAATTTCACACGATATAATGCCAAACGAGAACACATCGCTTCTCTCGTCATAAAATTTATTTTTTAGGCACTCAGGGCTAACCCAATACGGTGAACCAACATATTCTAAGCGTGTTTTACATCTATAATATTATCCAAAATTAAAAAATATATATAAAAAGTTTTATAAAAAACAAAAAAAAAATTTGTCAAAAATACTTACTTCCTATCTGGTATTTTTGCAGCTAAACCAAAATCACCCACCACTGCTTCATATTGATCAGCCGGTAATTTTCGTATTAACACATTCTGAATACAACAAAAAAATTAATGTAATTTTATTGAATATAAAAAACAAGACATGAAAAACATTACACTTACTTTACTAGTTAAGTCTCTATGGAAAATGCCCGCATCGTGTACATAAGCCATACCACGAGCTATACCTAGAGCTAGTTTTAATTTCAAAGCAGCACCCAATTCCACCTCTTTATTGGCCAACAATTGTTCCAATGAACCGCCATTTATGTACTCGGTTAAGGCATGCAATTGACCTTCTTGAACGCACACACCCATAAAACTGTAAAAGAAAACACACACACACAAACAATTTAATGAAAACTGTACACTTCTGCTTGATGGTTTTCACTGATCGATCGGTCCTTGAATCGACCTTACACAGAAAAAGGTATACCTCCCTCCTCCTTCATTACCACATCATAAAAACATTAAAAAAAAAAAAAAAACAACAACACAAGGAACCTTAAAAAAGTGTAGCAAGGGCTCGTTTATTATTAACACTATCCACCGTATAACGTAGTGGGAACATTCGTAAAAGATAGACAGCGTGAGACAGCGTTCTGCTAGATTTGTTTTCCCTTCCGTAGGCACATAGAAAAACGGGTAAAAAGCACTGTGAATGCTGTAGTGGCAGCGCATTGCCGACTCCGCTAGACTTAAGACCATCCCGGAACCGCTTTCGGATGACCGCGGGATGGACATGTCTTCATTTTCCCTACATCGTCCTACCTCTCTCATCGTCGACTGAGATTAGATGTTCGGATGTCGGTTTCGTGTAGCTTATATCGAAGCATGCCTTGCAAAGAATCGGAGGCAATTCTTTCATCTCTCGTTGCCTCACACCGCGGAAAAGACCGAGGTATCTTTTCAATGTGACCCATTATATTTGACAAGCGTAACATTGTAAGCTATCCGCCGCCATCGGTTAGTCCGTCCGTCTTTTTTATTATTTTTATCCCTTCGGTCATCCATGAACTTCGTCGCCTTTTTTGCACTTCCATTTTGGTATCCTAAGCAACTTATGGTACAAGGGTATATTAATTTTATGCGAATGTATATAACAGCTGGAAGGACTTGAGATGTGGCCATCTTTTGTTATACCCATCGATTTAGAATCACTCTCTGCATAGTTCTATACTTGCCTGTTCGTCGTGTATTCTTGGGTTGGACATAGAGGTCGCAATTTTCGATGTATTTTGAATCGGAATCTGGCACAAGGACATGTTTTGTCCGCAGGGTGAACGGTATTGAATATGATTCGAATCGAACGATTCTTCCCATACAACGGCTTATCTTGGAAAGTTCGCATTAACTGCATTAAGAGAAGAGGTGTAGGCTAGTTAAGAGGGCATCGTGACCCACTAGAGTGTTGCCACTTGCCCTTTACAATATCATTAAGGAATTCCCGAAATTCTTTTGCTGCTGTTTTTTTTTTTTTGATGCAGAAAGAAAAACATGTTAATCGCTGCCTCACCGCGCTTTGATCACGACCGTTTTTGCCCAATGTTGTCGCATGTGATTCATTTCCCATCCTCGCCTGTCGCCGTCTGGGATCGAACTCATCCCGTTTGACCAAGGCTACGCGTAGGGAAATTCGATTCATCACTTTTTTTTTTTAATAGTTTTTAAAAATTCCATTGCTCATTACTTTGCGACGGCCATGACTGCTTGTTGTATGTTTTTAAAAACTCATATATTTTCATATATTGTTTGTAATGCATTGCCAAAGAATGTTAAATATTTTTGTAAGATAAGAAATGCATTATCATCGAATTTTTAATTTACGTTTAATCGTCTTTAACGTTCATGTACGTGAGTGAATTTCTTAAATAATGAAGAGTAGCGGAATTTTTAAATGAAACACACAAAAACTCTTATGTAAAATTCGAAAAAGAAAAATAAAAAAAAAAATTTCTATAATTTTTTTTACTTCTACATAAAAAAAAGGTGATCTTGTACTTGTGATCCTTTTACAAACGATCATTCATTAAAGTGATTACAGAAATATGTTACAAAGGAGATATAAGCCAATTACGAATATCGCGCCATGATGTAACCCTTATTATATTATGTAAGACACAGTTCATTGCCATTAATCTTAAGGTCCACGAAATGATGATGATTTGTTTACAAATTGAATGAATTTAACGATTTACGTTTAGAGTGGGGTTTGTTAAGATCGCCCCTTAATCTTTGTGTCGTTATAATGCAAAGGGCACAGAATTTAATCTAAAACGAAGAACATGTATATCTTCCTCCGTTCGAAAGAGCATATGAAAGGGAATTAAGTATTGTTACTTGCTTTAAGATTCCTCCGATCGAGCCTTTCTTGCGTACTTTTCGTAAATCTCCCTAAAAATTGAAAAAATCACATATCGGTTGCATGCTGACTTGGAAATTTTTAAATCGGTTGCCTTCTATAATAAGCATATTTCGAAATTTCATTAGTTTATTATCGTGTCTGAAGGACATATATTGAATTGATGAGGAGCAATTTTCCGTATAATAGAGAAAAATTTCTTTAATTGGTTATCAATAAAGCGGGTGGTGGTACCCAGTTAAAAAAGTTCCAAAGCTTACTTATAATAATTCATTGAAAATGAAAGTTAGTCTCTTGCCGATCTGTTATATAGACATTCACTTCACTTCAAAAGCCGATTGAAACCATAGTTACGAGTATAATTTAGCTGTGGGGAACTGCACAAAAGCAATCAATTATTCGCAAAGAGTTTGATTTGCCTTTAGTTCTGTACTGATCGTCGATGAAGAAACACGAATTGTTCGACAATTTTCGATAAGTCACACTTTGTAAGAAAAATATTCCAAAACGTGTACATCTTTTTTGCAACTCTCTCATAAAACGACGGCATCCATACTTCGCGGGGATTATATTCGTTACTGCGTACTTTTTCATTTTCATGCGGGCAACGGTAATAATTGAGGGAATTTGAGATGGTTATGCACAAGTATTGAGTATTTCGGGTTATTTCCGAAAGTCGATTGCTAATGACTATGATCTTTTCGGCAGGCCTCGAAATGCACGACCAATTGAATTTGATAGTGATACCCTAACATGTCTAGTGGAAGGAGAAAATATGGGGATTTCGTCTCAAACACTTCCATTTTCTATACGCGTAGTATGACCTTGAAAACCGAAGCCCATGTGAAAGACTTTAGTTAACAAATCCGTAGCAGATATTCATCTAAAACTTGAAGAAAAATATAAATCCGACACGCCCTCTTACTGGCAACAGACTAATCTGATTGAATATTAAATAAAAACTTGATTAATCTGACCGCCAACTAGAAAGCTTACATCAATATGTCCAATTGACCATGAAAGGGTTTTATCGATTTTTGTCTATTGGTTCGAAGCCATTAATCTCAAGGATTCGCAATGAGTCGAATATTATTTTATTTCATCTCCTTTCCTGGGAAATTTCCCAAGGAGTTGAGACTTGAAACCTGGGACTAACCCGTCGAATAGTTTGAAAGGAATGCAAAAGCTTGCCTGACCTTGGTAATTAGATATACACAATTTCTATTGAAATCGTGTGCTTGTCAATACAAGCATGCTATAGTTGACCAAAATTCGTTTCTTTATGGATCTGTAGCCATGTCACTGCTGTTATGCGAGAATATCCATGAGATTAATTAAACCTTGAAAACTATTGCCCACTGTGTCTGTTTACTAACATTACTTTTAAAAATCGTTCACGTTAGTCAACTCTATTCAGATACCAAATATATAGGATACTAGCTATACATCCGTCTAGCGTCTACTTTGACGACAAAGGAAATTTCACAAAGTCACTATCACTAGACTTTTGAAAAGTTTTAATAATTAAATGAAATTTATTGTTATTTGATTCAAAGTGATTAGATGCAGGCTGATAATAATTTTATCAGATTTCCTTACTACTTTGTCAACACATAAACTTCCTCTTTCCTGTCACTTGAATGCCATTGCTGTTGCAATTGTTGTTGCCGTTGTTCGTAAAAAGAATATAATAATAAAAAATCCTTTTTGTCGCCTTCTTAATTGTTTTTTTTTTTCTTTTTTCTTCTTCTTATTCTTCTTATTCTTTGCATTTACTCCTACAATTTAAATACATACAAGGAAAAAATGATAAGCTGCTTATATGTAAAGTACCACTAACTGTAAATACAAGTAAACAACAATACTTCACACACTTAATCTGAAAGTAGACGTAGTGTCAGTCTGCGTATATAGTTTTCATCAGACCAATAGGCAGGCAAGTAGGTACACAAATCTAAGCTGTTTTCTTATATATATATGCCGAGTACTATTTTATTTTTTTTTTTTTTTTTAATGCGGAAGTATTTTCATAGACATATATGTAGGTATGCGCGAACGCGTTTACCGGTGGTTGCCTCTCTGGATGTTTATAGACGTGATTTCAATCCACTCTCATAATCATAATTCCCACTAAAGGCTGATGTATGTATTTCATATGAAATATATATCAGTATGTATATATGTGTATATGTGTGTATGTTGATGTATAAATGCAATACTTGTGCATATATGAACTTCAACTTGAAGTGTTATTTGATGCTTTATCTTCTTCTTATTTTCTCTTGTTTATAGCGTCACACTATACACTATGCACATATGATGATGTCTGTCGGCAGACGCATACATCCATCCACATGCAACTACAATACGTATAAAACACAGTTACACGACACATATCAACTTTTAGCAAATAATATACGTATCTGTCTTAGCGCATCTTGGATAAGGCAAATGAAAAAAAAAAAAAAAAACACAAAAGCAAAAAACACCTACTCTCAGGCAGGCAATCACATTTATGCTTGTAGTCCATCTGGATATCTTCAGGTTAAAAACAGTCGGGGAAAAAAAAAAAAAACGTTCCAGCTCAAGACTATGAGACGACGGTGCATGGATTCTTTGTGTGAAACCTTTGATTAAAAAAAAAAAAAAAAAAAAAAAAAAAACAAACACTTCGTATATTCTTGTCTTGTTCTGTCTCTACCACCTTCAGAATGACAATGAACTCTTCTTTTTTTTTTTTTTTTTACATGTGAATGTTAATGTTTGCTGCTACTGGCTTTACTGGTCGCTGTTATTGTTGTTCGTCTTACGACACTTTTGTGGTTTGTACTTTTATTATCTTGCTTTACATTTTTCTTTTTTTTCCCATTTTTTTTTTTTTTTAAGTTAAGCTCCAGATTTTCATCTATTGCTGCTCCGCTCGAAGTTGTGTATTGACTTTATTGAGACTTTATGCCTCC